AGCGGTAGGTGCAATCTTAATTGCTCGGCGATCCGGCCGTCTCTCCAGATAAGTAGTTAAGACAGTTAGTTGAGCAATTGAGATCTTCCGCAAATGAATGCGATGAATGCAGTCCCGCTCTCTTCGCTCTTCGTATTGTACCTTAAAGGTCTGGTAATGGTTATTGTTTTTGGTTCACACACCTCTGGAGAGTTGATAGCGACGGAAATCTTTCAATGTTTCTACGAAAATGTTTTCTGAATATTTCATATCAGACTTTTCTCATAATAGTTTAATTCACTTTAAACGATGCAAATTTATAAAATTTATTTTGATCAGAAGGGATTTGTCATCGGAACAAATATAAAAATAAAGATAAAAATATAAATTTAAAATTTATCTTGAAAACTACTCAAAACATTCGCTAATTAGAAATTAACAACCGAGAAATACTGTACACCGGACGGAAGTACAATACGATAACTTGATAAGTTGAATTAGGAACAAAGTTTATCCTTTTTGTTTTATACTTTTATCGAAGAAATATTTTCTAATAATAATAATAATAATTGTAAGATGAATTAATATCAAATTTCATTAATTAATATAATTATTTTACTTACAAGAAGCGTTGTTGTTCTCGTGTTTAAATGTTATTAAATTTTCATTTTATATTAACATTTAGTTTATACTTCATGAATATATTTTCAACAAAGTTTTGCAATTTTAAGAGAGCATTTTACTAGTTTACATATATTATTTTCAATTAAAAGGAAGTTACTTATCACGAAATTTTTGTTATTTAAATTTATGTAAACATTTCAGAATTTAGTTTAATGATAAAATACCTGTTTTCACGCAAAAATAAGTAATACAAGTACTGGAAATCGAACACTACCGGATACAAAAAGGTTATATACATTTATAAATCATAAAGTAATCGATTATAAAAGAACATCAATGATAATAATCACGAAGTTTAATATGTATCACAAAAAGTTGACAAACAGAAAGGGAGTTTTATTTCCTTCTTTCTACAAATTTCGAAAGTAATAGAAAATTGTATGTTTTCTCCCCCCTCTAATTAAATAATATNAAACGTTATAAAAAAAAAGTAGTAACAAACCAGTCAAAAGAATTGATGGAAAAAGTGTTTGCTCGATATTTGAAAATAAGCTGGGAAATCAAAAAATGGTGATAGTATAATAACTAAAACATAATAAATCTGTTAGAAAATCCAAAAAAATAGTAGTTGTTTAATAAGTTTTAGATTATAAAAGAACATCAATGATAATAATCACGAAGTTTAATATGTATTTAATAAATTTACCATATATTTTATGTACGAAATTTACGATTATTTTCTTTCTTTCTTTTCTTTTTTTTTATCAACTATTGTTAAAATTATATTACTAAAAAAAATCTAGACTTTTTAGGTATGATTATCGATTATATCAAAATATAAAGTGAAGATAAGTGAAAGAATTATTTAATTCTGTACTCCTCACGAAAGAAATTAATGTATCAATGACATTTCGATCATTTAATCACGTCCATAAAAATGGCGTCACATTGTCTACATATTCAGTTTCATGTAATAAATAATTCTTCAGAATAAGATTTTCGGATAAGAAAGTGAGTTTTTAGAACACTAATATAGACTTTATATATATATATTTGTATTTAGTTAACATTATATCATTCTATAGTTCTTGAAGTTCTATCAAGAAAGTACCATTTACAAGAGATTAAGAACTGTCAAATTGTCAGATTACTCAAATCACAAAGGATTTTGATAAAAAATACTTTTATGTTGAATTATAAATCTGTTCTTTTAATTAATATTACTTTATAAAGGATTCATCATTTTTAGATAACCCAAAAATTTTAAATTCATAAAAAAATTGTTATTATATTCTTAAGATCTTTATATAAAAGTGTACTATTATATATTTTATGTTTACATGTAGACACTAAAAAAAATTAATAAAATTGAGCTTAAAATATATAAAAAATTAATTTAATTTTTAATAAGTTATATATAATTGTACTTTTTTTTTTTATTATTTCCATAATCGTACAAAATCCTCTTCTATGAGAATTCAGATAAAAATAATTCTACAGGAAAATATATTTTAATATTCTCGATTATACTTTAAAAATAAGAAATTATTGATATGATTAGTAAAGTTTTATAGAATAAATTTTTTTGTAAATTAAAAATTTATTTTAAATCTTCACTATTAGAAAAAGGACTAAAAGAAGGGATGATTTTCATAATCAGGACTTAATATTAAATTGAATAAAACATTTATTAAAACGAAGATATCATCTCTTAAAGATCAGAATAAATGAAATGTAATGAAGTTTGATAGCAATTTTTTTATTATTATTTTTTTTTTATATTTAAACTTTTGTTTCCATTTAATTATATGACCAAATAATTTATTTAAAATATTTTATAACGAAAAAGATTATGTTACTTGGGAAATTTTAGAAAATTTTAAAGAATCATTTATTCATTAATATTTATATTAATTAATAAGCATGATAATCAGTAGGATTAATGAAACAAACCGAAGAAACGTACGGTTATCGACCGCAGATACACGATAACGATATTGATAATTAAATTAAAGTCACTAATTAGGCATAAAATATTAAATGCAAACTTTAGTTACGTTAATAATTTTTGCATTTACAAATTATTGCAATTTTTTTTATCATCGATAATGTTAATTACGCTAAGTTTTTTAACAAAAAATAATCTATATAACAACAAATAAAAACTCGTTTGATTTATGAAGTTAAATAAAAGATGATATAGTGGAAGAATTTTACAACATGTTATATAGGCGAAAAGGGATGAAAGGAAAATAATATATTATAAAGAATGAAGAATGATGGAAAAGTTACACTTTATTGATTTAAAAAGAAAATACTATAATTAAAAATGATGTAACTTGTTTAAGATAATAAGTACTGTACATCTATGGTAAATCAGAAGACATCTGATAATTAAATATCAAACTGTCACTTTTAGTGTAAAATTTTGCATAATTTGTTTTAAAGCTTAACTTAAACAATATTTTTGTTAGAAAGTAAACATGCGATAGACGTTTTGATTTATCTGAACACCATGTTCACAAGGCAAAAACATCAATCATAACAAAATAATATCCTACTATATATCTCGAGGTTAGAATTCAATTATTGTAACATTCGTATACTTACAACTTAATTTTCTATAAAGTTTTATAAAAAAAAATAAGTAAATTTGATCTGTTAGATTAATTATGAGCAGCTAATATTAAAAAAAAATGCCCTATATATATATGTGTGTGTGTATATTTTTGGCACATCGTTCGCTGTACAATTAAATGCTTGGCAGGAGAATGCAGAAGAATGTATGCCAGAATGTGTGCATGTATAGATATAACAAATTATAATTAGTTATTTGTTCTTCTTTCTGTATAAATTTGTAATAAAAGACTAAGAAAAACTTTGTAATTTAAAATAATAAAAATTTCGAATTTTTAATAAAGAATATGTCTAAATTTTAATATATAACACAATACTTTTTTTTTCAATTAATAAACTATAAATAGTATGTAAGTCTGTAGTTCATAAACAATGTAGGCTTATGAGATCAGATATTGAAAAAACGTAGACGTCGAAGATACAAAATACGACAGAATACGAAATGAAATTTTGAAAAAATCGAATTCGATACCAATAGCAAAAGATAAGAAAATAAAAAAGGTTATAAAAAAAAGTAGTAACAAACCAGTCAAAAGAATTGATGGAAAAAGTGTTTGCTCGATATTTGAAAATAAGCTGGGAAATCAAAAAATGGTGATAGTATAATAACTAAAACATAATAAATCTGTTAGAAAATCCAAAAAAATAGTAGTTGTTTAATAAGTTTTATAACATAAAATATTAATTATGATATATCCGTGATGTTACACTAATAAAAAAACTAAAAAAAAAATTAATAATCTACAAAGTT